GGCAGTTACAGCTGATTGAATTATATCCTTTTTTAATTCTTCAAAGTCTGACATTTCTGCCGTTGGAAGAGGAAATATTTTACATGTATTTAACCGATGAATTTTGTTTGAAAACCCTGGTATCCATTTAGAGTAGTGAGCGAATAACCCCATAATTCTTTTAAGAGATGCCAGGTTTGTAGGTGGAGGTAAATTTTTTAGAGGTTCTAGTCATGATCAGCTTGACTGGTTCCACATACTGTGACATCATCTAAGTATGCATAGACGCCAGGTAGTTTTTCTCGTTTGATAATACTGTCAATAACTCTCTGAAAGCACGCTACACCATTGGTTACACCAAATGGGATTCTTCGGAATTGATAGAGCGTCCCATTAGCTTCGAAAGCAGTATAAAGTTTTTCTTCTTCCCGTATCGGAACTTGATGGTAAGCACTTCTAAGATCGATTGTACTAAAGAAATTGTATTTTGAAATGAGAGCGATAAGTTCTTCAATATTAGGTAAGGGATATGCATCCAAAAATGTAAAGCGATTAATTGTCTGCGAGTAATCTACTACCATTCTCTTTTTATGATGTTCATTTTTAGTAATTAGAACTTGAGCTCTCCAAGGTGAGGTACTTTCCTCTATTATTCCTTCACCAAGGAGTTTTTGGATTTCTTCATGTATAAATTTTTTATCGTCACAAGAATGTTTTCGGGATCTTGTAGCTATTGGCGTACAATTAGGAGCAAGATTATTAAATAGACTTTGTGGTTCGACTTTGGCTAAAACCAAACCGCAGATTGTTAATGCTGGTCTAGGACCACCAAAGTCTAGTTCGACCTTAGAATAGTTTTTAAGGATGTCATGTCCAATTATGACGTCAGCACAGAGATTTTTAAGTACAGATAGCTTTTTATTTTTATCGTGATATTCCATTAAATCCAAGTTAACGAAACAGTGACCAGATATGTCTGAGCTTAGGGCAGTAGAAGCCATTGATATTTTGCCATTACTTGGTAGTATTTGCAATTTAATATTTCTAACAAAATGTTCGTCAATGTAGGACTCGGAACTGCCAGTATCAATGAGGGCGTGAGCTGGAATATTATTGATCTTAACTTTTATCAATGATTTTGAAAGACATTGTGGAGCAGCCGCGATTAAACCAGTCGTGTGTAAAAGTGAAGCTGACGTGGACCTATTTTTAAGCCTTTTGCTCATACATACGTTTGAGAAATGACCTCTTTTGCCACATTCTTTACATGTTTGGTCTTTAAATTGTAATGAAAATACCTTCTGAAATTAGGCTTTATTGAACAGAATTTTAGTGACAGTAAATAATATGACAACTCTATAACAAAGAATAAATAAACCATACAGGATGTACAAAACTAATATAAAACATGAACACAGTTTTTCATTACAGTCGGTACCTACTGAATTGTCTTCTCGTCCCTTATTTTAAGCTTTATCAATGAATGCAAAATTGTCAGTTACGGGGGTGTATTAAAAAACGTTAAAATTTGATGTAAAATGTCACTAGAAACGAGTTTCTCTAATAACTTTTTCATATTCAAAAAATACCATTTTTGAACGATATAAAATAATGCGAATTTGATAGTAGCCATCTTTTTATGTGGGCTCTTTTGAATTTTTAACCTACGACGTTTTGTCCAATCATAATATTAAAAAAATTCATATATATCCAACTTTATGGCGCACACTGTATAATATACAATATTATAAAAATAAGGTAACTGCATAGGATAACATAAAAGAGACCTTTAGGAAAAAGATAGATAAATTCAAAACCGTAACTGTATGCAATGATACATCCAGCACTCACTTTGGTTATGGGACTAAAAAGAACCAATTAGAACGGGATACGTCCCGACTGTGGGCGGGATCGATTGACCATTAACACGTAGCAGTTAGATTTTTTAACCTAACATTTTTGTTTGTTAGTTTGTGCCAGTTTTTGTTTTGGTTTTGCTCACGGCCAAATATTTACAGTAATAATCCTTCCTCCATGATTTACAGTTATAGTGTGTGTACATACAATCCATGTACAATCGTGGTTTTGATGTTTGCTTTTACCATAGTTGCTTACCGAAATAATGGATATCGCGCCACTACCCTCTTTGAATGATGAATTTAATGTAAGTACAACATTTTTGTACCTTGTTTCTCTAAGACGAAAATTAAGCCTTTCAAGTAAAAGTTCATATTTGTTTTCTTTTGTATAACTACTAATTAAATATTTTTGCTGAGAAAATTGGTACCTACATGTATGTTCATAAACATAAAGTACAAACAAACTGCTAGGATTTTTGTGTAATTAAATCTTTATTTTTCAGTCAGTTTTTCCACCTGGTTGGGGAACAACAATTATTGGTAAAAAAATAGTAGAGGGTGAAGATAAGTTCCCGAATGTAGAATTGCATTTTTTCATCAATTGCGCCAATGAAGAGGAGTTTGGAAAGTGGTTGATGGAGTTTGAAAATTCAACAAGTTCATCATACGTTATCGCCTGTACAGACGTTGAGAATGGAGCTAAATTGAAACTGAAAAGAAGACTAAGGTAATAAAGGTTTTATTATTAATAAAACCTTTGGAAAACACAGATTTTACAGGTTACAAAAATTAGGTAGTAAATTAATGTAATAAATATCACATTTGTTTATGCTCTTATTTATAATGTAGGTTATATTATTTGTTACATGTAGGTTTATTACAGTTTATTATTATGTTACCTGGAAAATTTAATTTTAGGTGTCATCATTCTACACGGTGCACTAAAACCTACAACCCGTCCTTAAAAAACAAAACTAGAAACACCAATTGTCCTTCGAAAATAACTGTAAAGATACATGTTATTAGAAAAAAGTATAGGGGCAAGAAAGAAAATGTCCAACTCTTACAAGAGGCGCCTTGTGAGGTTAAACTTATTTTAACACACAACCATATGACCAATACTGCAGATTCTTTACGGTTTCGTAAAGTTTCTAAGAATGTAAGAGAAGAGTTACTAAGTCTTTATAAGAATGGCCATACAGCAGGAACAGCTTTGGAGATGATTAAATGTAACATTCAGCTTACCAGGGATGATTATGTGACAGCTTTGGCAGACCGTAATATATGTCCAACCTATAAATACTGTTATGATCTATATATGAAAGAGTTTAAAGAAAATTATGGACCTATGAAATTTGATACAGAGGCGAAAATGTTTTTAGAAAATAATCTTACACTGTACAATGCTGAAAAAAGAGAAACAATAACAAACATTCTAGAAATGTTTATGGTATGTTATAAACTTAATTAAATGGGTTTGGTTCGGTTTTGGTATTTTATTTGGTGGTTATAATATGTATTTTTTTATTTATCGTTTGTATGTTTAGAAATAATTTAACTTGACAGCAGATATTGTTGAAATTGTATTAGTTCAATTTAATGAACTAGGTATACTATAATGTAAACCTTCCTATTTAGATTTGTAAAATATACCACTAATTAATTATTTTTTGTGTCCCAATTCAATTTATAAATTGGCAACACAAATAATTGAAATTAAATTTGTATAGATTTCTTTAAGGATGTGCACAACTTTATTTTCTAAAGCTTTTGTTAAATTATTTCATTGACTAGAATTATAATCATTTTTAGGAAGTGGCCAAAATCGAAGAGGACGAAAAATTCCTATACAAAGTACTGCTGTAGCTAGAAGAAAAATTAAGAAAAAATCATCAAGACAACTAAAACGATTACGTAATAATACATATGATACAAGTAGATGCGTAATGCCTACTAAATAAAAAATGTTATTAGTTAAATAAACTATTTTTTTAAATTAAACTGCTTATTTTTAAAATTCCTAATGAAATATTTAAATTTAAAAACCGTTTAGGTAATGTAGCTGTAGCATAAAAAGTAATTATCGTAACTGAGGAGTTGGCGGGAAAAACGATCAAATTCGGGGTGGATGGTGCCATCTAAAGATTTTTGTATATAATATATGCCTGGTAAACAGTTGCTGCAAAACGATTAAGATCTCTATAATACACCTAACAGTTATTTATGCAACTAGTGCGAAAAGCACTCTTTTCACACTGTTACATACAATATTTTTCGTAAAATAAATGATAGTAAAATTCTAAAACAAAAGTATTTTCCTTTACACCTTGTAGAAATACCGGCAGTTTTGTTGGAAATTTCCTGTCATAACCGCATCGAATTTTTGTTTTTAATTGTTTGAATTGTCAAGATGATCATTTGTTGGTAATTTTTAGGTGAATTTGTTCGTTGAAAGCTTATTAAACGTAATCAAACGCTTTTAAAATCTGATTTTTATTTTTAGAAAAATGCCTTTAAAAGTGTAGTAATTATTCATCTAATTTAGTTATGTCAAATATTAGTAATTGTGTAATTAATATTTATAATAAATTTTGTGTATTATTTGCGCTTCCTATGAGACAACGCTCGGAAGTAAAAAAAAAACGATTTTCTCAGTTTCAGCATAGGCACACCTTCATCGTTTTCCTCGCCACCTCCCCAGTTACTTTCAAAACGAGCGCGCTTTTATGCCCCGCCTATAATTTGGCGTTCGCGCGCTGTTATTGGCTCTTCCACGTCTCATAGCGGAACTGTGGGCTCGATGTAGTATTGCTAACTGTATAGCTTAAAAAGCAAGACCCAGCTGGAAAGAAGTAGAATTAAAAATAAAATGTCACTTGTCACATCACAGCTACAGGGAGAAATGAGGAATGCTTTTTGTGAATGTTGTTTTTATTTGCATTTGTGTAGAAGTGCGTAAGTGTAGAATATAAATATATTACATACCTAAACTGTATATTTTATATATTAATATAACAAATATAGAATACAAACAATTCTCTTATTTATATTTATACCTATTTAGGTGCTTCCTCATTCCTGATTTTAGCCCCGACCATGCTCTTGGTATTTAAAATATATTAGCCATTTCATAGATTATAAATAAAAAGGCTTATAAACAAAATGCAAACACCCATTCTAACGAAGAAGCAACTGAAATCTACGCTGTCTGCAAAGAAAAACAGACCGAAAGAAACGTTAAAAAATGTTTTAGCTGTACCATACAGTACAGATTATTGGTAAATTTGCAAAATAAATATGTAATTTTGAATTAATTTGTTAGATTTTAGGCCCGAAATATTACCTCAGGATTATACCACACTAAATGGAGTCTTGATAGTACATTTACCATCGATCAAGGTCCAAAAAATTGATGTACATTGGGATGAAATTAAACAAGTCCCAAAAGAGGAAAGAAAAAAATATACTAGGAATACAGAAAATCAGCATGGTCCAAATGTAGAAAAAAAGTAAGTTTTGTTGAATATAATTTAATTTCTTTGAAAATTTAAATATATAAATCGTTTATTTAGTCAAAAAAACTATTTTTTACATGTCAATACATCTTCAGATTTAAAATATAAAAAATACATAAATATAGAATCAACATATATTTAAAATACAATAAAAAATACATAAGATACAGTACACTTACATAAAATAACAAGAGAAAAGAAAAAAAAGTCAATAGGTCAACAGTTTTATTTTAAATATTGCCGCGTTTGAAGAACATTTAATATCTTCAGGCAAATTATTAAAAGCCTGTACACCTTTAAAAAACACTGAATTTTGTGTACATTTTTTCGTGGCCTTATAAACTCTAAAATTTTTCTTATTGCATGTATTATGTTCATGAACATCCTGATTATAACTTAAAATATTTTGTAAATATACTGGGGAGATTCCTGATTTAATTTTAAATATAAAAAGCAGGGAATAGAATAGCAAATATTTTTTAACAGGCAACCGCTGAAGCACATTCAACATGGAATTGATTGGTTCCAATCTCTAACAGCTCCGTATTATCCTCATACCTCTATTCTGCAACTTTTGCAATCGTTGCAACTCATTCTGGTTGAGCAAATACAGTATAGTGGTACAATAATTAAAATGAGGTAATATTAGAGTATTATAAATTATTATTGTAGCCCATTTGTTGTGATGTGGAGAACAGCGCTTCAAATAGTTTATTTTAAAAGATATGGTTTTGATCACTTTATTAGTATGTTCCTTAAATTGTAAATTTATATCAATTATAGCCCCTAGATATTTAAATTTTTCAACTCTCTGAAACTTTATTCCATCAACAGAAACACACTGTGATGCTACATTAATTTTTCAGTACCCCCAATTAACACCACTTTGTCTTTTCGTAATTTATTTTCAACGAGTTTCCGTTACAATAATCATATATTTTACTTATAGAACTATTAATATCTTTAAAACAAGTTTCAGTGTTTTCATGGGTAAAATATATCGGTGTATCATCTGCAAATAAGTGTATTGAGCATCTTTCGACTACACCAGCAATGTCATTAATATAAATTAAAAACAGTAGTGGACCTAGAACACTACCCTGTGGCACCCCCATATTATTCTCTATAGTATCTGAAACACAATTATTTACCTTAACCTTCTATTTTCTATATAATGAACCAACCAGTCGAGTGCACAACCCCCCAAACCTATAGCTCTTAATTTCATTAATAATCTACCCCTATTAATAGTCTCAAATGCCCTCTGTAAATCTAAAAATACCGCCAGTGTAACCAAATTATTTTCAATTGATAACTTCCAGTCATGCAAAACCAACTGTAAAGCAGTTTCACAGTTGTGTCTACTAGGGAATCCTGATTGCACATTACTTATCAAACTCTAAATAATCAATAATTTGACGATATATTACTTTTTCTATTAGTTTTCCAACAGCACTGATCAAATTTGTCGGTCTTAAATGGGTAGCCTTACTTGGATTAGAAATTTTTGGTATCGGAATTATTGTAGTAATCTTAATATCGTCCGGAACTAAGCTTGTTTCAATAGAAACATTTATAATATGTAATAGAGGTTGGGATTAACTCTCAAAACATTCTTTTAATAAAATTGTTGATATTTCGTCTGGACTATTTTTATTTGACATTGAAAATAATATTTTTTTTAATTCATTATAATTAATTAGTTTAAAATTTACAAGAGTTTCAATTTCACTTAGATGAGGTATAATCGGATAATTATTAATAGTAGGTAACTGCTCAGATATTTGTTCAATACTCTTTATAGTAATAATTTAATGCATTTGGAAAAGTAAAATCCTGACAATTGTCACAAATATTCTCGAATTCAATATTAGTATTAGTAAAACTGCTTGCGATATTAGCTGTTGGAATGAAAGATTTCAAAGTTTTCCACATCTCAGTAGGGTTACCCTTGTTTAAATCTATTTTAGTTTCCAAGTATTTTCTTTTTTCATGTTTAATTACATTCACTGTTTTATTCCTATTACATTTATATATTTGCCAGTTTTCCTCTGATTTGTTAGTAATAAATGTTTTATAACTTTTATCTCTCACACTAGTAGCAGCTCTAACCTGATCATTCCACCAGTTCTGATAATATGGTAACTTTCAAAATTTTATTTAAAAAATCTGTATTTTTCATTAATATCATGTAACCAATAATTCCATGTAATATCTTTTAGATTATTATTAATTATTGTATAATCAATAAACCTACCTCTACTTTCAATAACTATCGTTTCCCTTTTCTGTTTTTTTTTGTTTGTTTAGTTTTGTAATAATATTTCTATGACTACTGATTTTTGGTGTGTCTATTACTTCAGTTGTAATGTCTGAGTTTGTAATAATTAAATCAATTAATGATCCTCCATGAGTATTTGCATGTGTAAATTCTTTTACCACATTCTTAAAACCTGTATCAGTAACAATATTTTTTAATCTTTTTGAATAAGTTGAATTACTATGCCAATCAATATTAAAATCCCCAACCAAAATAACTTCTAAGTTGGCATCAGTTAAATTCAGCTCACACCATTCATCAAAAAAGTCTAGGGATAAATGCATTCCAGTACTAGATCTATAAAGGCATACTATCAAAAACTTTTTGTTATTATGTAAGAGTTTTACTGAAATTAACCAATAAGTCCTATCTAAAATTACTTTATTAATATCTAAAATTACTTTACTTTATTAATATCTAAAATTACTTTATTAATATCTAAAATTTGTAATATCTGATTCACATAGATGATAACTCCCCCAGTATGTCGAATGTTGCTATATTATATAACTGTTAATATTTATTTCATTATTAGTCCAGTAACTGAAGACCTGAAAATATGCAAAGCTGTAATTAAGTCGGTCCAGATTTCCTTTGTGGCTCAATTCTTAGGTCTTGACGGTTGCTTTCAAGGGTGAAAACTTTTACCAACACTGCTGGGTCGGAAAGGGCCCAAAATGGCCCCAAAAGTCCGAAAAAATGGTTTCCCGCTAATATCTGCCAAAATATACAAATTAGACAATTTTTGTTTAGATAAAAAATGAAGATCGTATCATTATCTACAAAAATGGTCCCTACCATTTTTTTCGCAAGACGAATATTTTTTGCAAAAACGGCCTTCGAAAAAGCCCGAATTTTTGCACTGAGAGGGAGTTGGGAATACATTGATTTTCATGTTTTGGACTTTGGAGACTAATTGTAGATGGCGCCAGCGGCGTACCTCTGCTCACTAAATTATGGGGCCTGTGAATGGAAATCCGGGCACCAATCGATCTTTCGACAATTATAGGCTGATTCTACGGGATTTTTTCTGTAAAGTAGCGCTTGGGGTATCTCATCTATATTGCCGAATGTTCTGTGTATTTTGCGTTGCAAAATTTAATAGAAAAGTTCAAATTTTTTTTTTTTTTTCATGTGGCAGTCTTAAATCCCGGCGCTTTGCCTAATAGTGGGTTACTAGTTTTAGAGTGTGATGAATATTGACCCGAGAAGACCCTTTATATTTTCTGCGTCTTTTGCAAAATTTTCTCCTGCAGGTTTCGTGCATCTTTATAAAGGATTGCTTCTTTATGAATAGGTGAAAATTATCGTTCCTTTCCTTGCTCACATCAATTACTTTTTCTAAGCCTCTAGTGACATTTGCAACGTCATCCACAACTTCCTGGGCACAAAGGAAACATTTTGGAACGGAGTCCGCTTTCATTGCTGCAACAAGAGCTTTACAAAAATATATTATTGAAATGTAATAAGAATTACAACAAATTTATAGACTTTATTTTAAATTAACCAAACCTTTTCTGTTCCCCACAAACGAAAAACAAATTCTTGAAAATTCAAGAATGACGTCGAATTTTTCACTTTAAAAACTTCTTTTTTTTTTTTTTTAATTGATAATGATAAAATACTATCAATATTTTTCTAAAATACTATCAATAATACCGACAATAACGACTCCAAAAACAACAGAGATTGTATACCAACAAAAGCAGACGATTAAGGTGAGCGCGTGGCGCGTGGGTACACATGGTTAGGTTATGATGGAATATCATGGATCTCAGGCGGAGAGCGTAAAAATGGGGGAGATAATTCTAACAAACAGCTAAGAACCACGCTCACATACGGGGATCAATTAATAGAAACGGAAAGGTGAGAATATCAGCTTCACTTCGGTCTGGGTATTAATGTTCAAAAAATGAACAGCGGGGAACAAGAAGTATTTAAAAAAAGTCCGGTTTTCCCCGGTGTGATCAATTTTCCCGATTTCTGGAAAATGGAGCAACTTTATTAAAAAAAATACATTCGTAAAGTAGACACTCTAAGCTTTAAAATGGTGTGCATTGAATAACAAAATAATGAAATAATTACTGCTTGTTTCAAAGATTTCTAGAACTCCGAAAACGTATGAAAAATGCAAATAAACAAATCAATTTTGTTTTAAAACGCCAGGAAGATACTGGATAAAAATTTCTGAGATCATTCGAGACATCTCAATATCCCATTTAAAACAAAAATGAGATAAAAAACTATTAAAAGAAAAAAAAAATGAATGAATTACTATAAAGTGGTCCAAAATAGTGGGAAAACGCAACTTTGACCCCCTTTTTCAATGTTCTTGACAGGAAATAACGGGCTTCAAGGCACATGGATCGATACCTATGGGTTTTCCCATTGTAATGAACTTTGAATCATCGAAAAATATCAATTTTTGACCGAGTTCTGAAACAATTTGTCCATCCGTTTACAAGCTAATCAGCATTGCTATAGAGATAAAAAGCAGGGGCTGAACGAGAGGACTTTTGATTGCGGTTATCTCGAAACCTGTCGAATTCCCGACAAAAATGATAGGGGCCATTTTTGTAGATAATGATAAGATCTTTCTTTTTTATCTAAACAAAAATTCTCTAATTTGCATATTGTGGAAGATATTGGCGGGAAACGAGTTTTAGGGTCCATTTTGGGCCCTTTCCGACGCAGCAGAGTTGGTAAAAGTTTTCGACCTTGGAAGCGACCGCCGAGACCTAAGAGTTGAGCCACAACGGAAATCTGGACCGACTTAATGACAGGTTGGTCCCTTCAGTTACTGGACTATATTATATATATCTGAAGTTAAATGCGTTTCCGACAGGAAAACTATCAGTGGATTTTTATTAATAATAAAATTTTTAATTTCTTCAAAATGTTCAGTTAAACTTTGACAATTCATATACAACAAAAAAGTATCTAATCTATAATTATCTGTCCCATTTGATTTTTTCCTAAAAAAGGACTTGTCATATCTGATTCATTATTATTATTCAAGTTATCCTCAGGATGCTCACTTAATGATTCTAATGGGCTACATTTTTCTTCAATGTTAACAAATATTAAATTTGAAATTTTCACCTTTTCCATTTCTGCAATAATTTTTTTACAAATAACATTCTTACTCACTAATTTTCCTCTATTTTCTAAAATATTCACCATTGCTACTTTTTCTTGTAAATACTTATTAATTTTTAGAATAATAGTTTGAGAACACATTATTTAAATTATTAACACATTGTTTAACATTATAATCCATTGCATTACATGGAACAGTGGTGAATATTATATTTGTATGTATGCTTTTCAGTCTATTATGTATAAATTTTACTGATGGATAACGCTTTTCTCTAAAGTTATTGGTTCCCGCAATTATAATTACATAATCGTTGAGAGTGAAATTACTTGTTAAAGTTACAATATCTTCCACCACTCCTTCTAAATGTGCCCCAGGTTTCCTGATATAGTCTGTATATTATACCACTTTCATCAGATAAAATAAGTATCCTCTTCACGTCCGTCATTTCCCTTCTGCCATTCTTTTCACAAACAGTTGGTGTTTGTGTTATTTCTGCTCTACTATTCGATTTCTGCATATTGTCTATTATATTTCTTAGATATTTCACTTCTTTTAAGTAACATTCATAATTTTCAGAAAGCATTCAGTACGAATCGGTGTTAATGAAGTGTCTAAACTTCTAGAGGAAAACTCGGCTTCTGCTGTGTTAATATCAGCGGACGTCCAGCCCAGATCAATGGTACAACATATTCTAGACCAAGCTGTTTTATACAAAGTCCCAGTTCTTGTGGTCGATAAACTCAGACAAACTTTACGTAAACAATGTGGTGTGAGTGGTGCTGTTTTCGCCATCGAGAAAACCATTACAGATCCAAATGTGAACCTAATAAGAGAACATATAGAAAGTATTTTTGCAAAGATTCCTCCGCCCGTGGATCATATAAATTATAATCGATCCATAGATTCAGCTCAAGTTGAGCTCACAAAGGAAGAAAAACCAGTCAAAAGAAGAGAAAATTTAAAAATAGATGAGAACGAAATTCGTAAAAATATTTATCTAAAGGCACCGACTAGTGGAAGAGCATTCACTCCTCAAGAAATTGAACAACCACAGAAGAAAATTCCTCGAATTGAAGTGGATGAAAGTGGTTTTGTACCTTTTTTTGAAGAACCAGAACCTGCACCGACTAGCAGAAGAGCGTTCATTCCTCAAGGAATTGAAAAACCACAGAAGAAAATTCCTCAAATTGAAATGGATGAAACTGGTTTCGTACCTTTTTTTAAAGAACCAGAGCGTGTACCGACTAGTGGAAGAGCGTTCATTCCTCAAGGAATTGAACAACCACAGAAGAAAATACCTCTAATTGAAGTGGATGAAACAGGTTTTGTACCTTTTTTTAAAGAACCAGAGCATGCATCGACTAGTGGAAGAGGAATTGAACAACCACAGAAAAAAATTCCTCGAATTGAAGTGGATGAAACTGGTTTTGTACCTTTTTTTGAAGAACCACCGACTAGCGTAAGAGCGTTCATTCCTAAAGGAATTGAACAACCACAGAAGAAAATTCCTCGAATGGAAGTGGATGAAACTGGTTTTGTACCTTTTTTTGAAGAACCAGAGAATGCACCAACCAGACCTGGCAATCAGAGTTACAAATCTTTGGTTGTCAAAAGACTGAAAGGCGATAGGGATAGAAATAAGAGAAAAATCGAACGTCTAAAAAAGAAGAGAGAAATGTAAATTGATTTATATTTTAAGTATCGATAATCAGGTTACAAAATAAGATAATTATTAATATATTGTATGTTTAATAAAACACGAATTTTATTCACTAGATGGTTTTATTTAGAGAAAAACATTTAATAAAATATACATGTCATTTAACATACATAATACAATTTATTATAATTAATGGTACGTTATAACTTACTCTATAATATTAAAAAGTCGATTTAAATACAATGTAGGTATGTAGATAAATATTTTTTATCGAGATAAAATTCACACATTTAATAGCTATTTATGTAATCAGTTACGAAAAGTCTTATTTTAGGAATAGGGGAACTCTGCGGAACTAGTAGAAAGGCTTGTAAATATTCAAATTATTGAATTTAGTTACTGAACATAATACTTATAAAGTAACGCATTTTAATAGCTCATTACTCGAGAGAGGAAAAAAATTAACTGCAGTTTTGTTCTCATAGTTGCCAAATGTATACTTTTTCCCGAAACTGCAGAAAGAAAATATTTTTTTTCTACGACCGTGTATTTTTACCCACTTTCCCGCACGCATTTTAGTTTTGAAAGTGTCACTTTCCCGCACTAGTGCGGGAAAAAATCACTTTCCCGCACTAGTGCGGGAAAGTAAAATTATGAATATTTAACCGTATCTATTGTATAGTTTTTTTACCTCGGATGTTATAACTATTGTTACAATAGGTAATTTAGTATTTTCCAACTATTCCATTTAATAAAATTTACTTTTTTCTTGCTTTTTGTTATAATTTTAATTTTTTGGAAAACTTGAATAATAGAGATATTTTTATATACCTTCTGTATATTTTTAAAAGTCAGACTAGGCTGTGACATGTATGGCTTGATATGGTTGCTATATGAGGTATTTTTTAGCGAGTGTTTGGTTTAAAATATTTTCGACTTTTTTAAACCGTTTAAAATTTAGCGATGCAACTATGACATCACGTACGAAATATTTTAAACCAAAGCTAGAATGTTTGAACCAGTCGGAGGCATATGGTTCAATAACGGTTGACACATAAGAGATTCTGATTTTGGCTGTTGTATGTTGTTTTACTCTGTTCCATTCTTCGAAAATTTTGATATATTTGACGTTTTGTTAATTTTTATTATCATACATATATTATGTGATTCACTCCAATTGCTCGGAGGTGATTCATATTCATACATTATGTTATAATATTAATATTGATCGTTATATGTTGTAAACATTATAAACAAGATGTGATCTACCTATAGGTTACTCTGGATTATGAAACAATGATGCAATTGAAATGTGGTAAAAGGATTAATTATCATAATTACGTAGATTGCTTCAGATTCTGAATTTTCCAGTAAATATTTAAAAGCAATTAGGCATTCCAAACAAATGAATTACCAGTGGGCAGGTTTGGTATATCTAAGGGTGGCGACATATGGTGTATTCTATCTACTTTACGTAAAATCATGAATAATGGATTACATTTAAATATTTTATGTCAAACACAATAAAAATAATATTTAAAAAACCCACCTATACATTTCTTCATAAATTGGCAGGCTTGGCGACTACTACTTTGAATAAAAATAGCGTCCAAGTTGCAAGACTATGTCGCTACCCCCTTAGATATACAAGAATTTCCCACTGGCACCTATTGTTTGACAGGTCGTTGGAATGCCTAATTAAACATTCTATGGCACAAGACGTTCTAATTGATGAACTTTGGGAAAGCCCAAAAAAAATTATAGCAAAGGATCGTCAGACAATTGCGTATTTATTGGAGCTACGGAATAAATATATGCCATGTTTATGGGCAAGAAATATATCAAAAATAAAACTATAAACAACGTTTCAGATTGCAATTTATTAATAACACTCCAATTTTTAATTAAAATCGCTATCAAACAAACTCATCTTCCTTCATCTGATTTAACAATCATAAAAAAATTCAATTCATTTTTTTAAATCAACTTATCGCTTCTCCTTTCTACAACTTATTTCAACCGGTAATCCATCAAAAAATAATACGATCGAAATCAGAATATTTCAAATTTTGTCATATGTATGAAGACTAGTCTTCATAGTAATATGACAGTTAGCAGGTTATATTTTTAAACCACCCTATTTTTGCCATCTATTAATTCATAACGTCACTTTAAATATGGTTTAAAAAATATTTTTAAACCAATGTGGTGGCTAAAAAACAGCTTAATAACCAAGGCGTGTTATTGTTACAAAAACGTCAAAGTTGTTTGTTGAAGCGTCAACTGAATTAAAATAAATTAAAGAAATAATGGATTCATCGGATGAAGAGCTGCCCGAAGCCATTTTAAAAGCTGCAAATGAAGCACATTTGGAGGTGTTACCTGCCAAATCACGAGGAAGATATGAAAAACAATACGACCATTTTGTCACATGGTGTAAACAGGAAGGGGTAAAAACCTACAAAGAAGAGGTGTTTCTGGCGTATTTTTCGCACCTAAGTAACTTTTTGAAATCTAATACTTTATGGTCTCGCTATTCGATGGTGAAAAGTTTAGTAAAAATAAAACAAAATTTGGATATAAGCCAGTTCCATAAGTTAACGTCATTTCTAAAAATGTTGGTTTTCGAGCACAGAAGGCGCAGGTTTTTACCAAAGAAGATATATCCAGGTTTATGTTAGCCCCTGATGAGGTATACCTTATGATTAAAGTGAGTACCATTTTTGCTTTAGCTGGTGCTCTCCGCAGAGCGGAGCTTGTAAATATCACTCTCGATGATATACAAGATAAAGGCAAGTTTTGAAAATTTCCGATTCCAAAAATCATTCTTCAAGATCATTTGTTTTATGTGAAGAAATAAATAATGGAAACTATCTGAAGCTGTACAGAAAGTACGCAGGTTTACGACCACCTACCACTCCGCATCGCCGCTTTTTTATTAATTATAAGAAGGGAAAATGCTCAATTCAGTGCGTTGGCGTAAACACCTTTGGTAAGATGCCAACAGAGATTGCTGCATATTTGCGTCTACCTAATCCTGAACGATATACAGGACACAGTTTTAGACGTTCTTCAGCAACATTCCTAGCAGACTCAGGTGAAGCGATAACCAATATAAAACGTCTCGGTGGCTGGAAGTCCACTACTATCGCTGAAGGCTATTTGGAGGACTCCGAAAAACAGAAGAAAAACATTTCGAATAAAATTATTTCAAATAGAAATGACTTGCAACCTTTGCTGCCACCGTCATTTTCACCTTCATGCGACCTGCAACCGATGTCACTCCCGTCCACGTCATCTTTTCAATCTACGAGCGTTACGACTATTAACAGCCAATTAACACCAACTAATTCCTCTGTACCGGCAATTTTACATAATTTACAAAATGCTACAAATTGTGTATTTAACATTAATATCCATAATAATTAGTTGTTTTTATTTAAAGATTTGTATATGTTGAAATAAAATAATTTTCCAAAAATAATTTTTCCTACTTTTTTGTATATACGGTCGTATAGAAAGAATAATGTCCCTAACTCATGCGTAAAGTGTCTTTCCCGCACTTGACCGCTTGCCCGAACTCTGCTTCGCGTCGTTCGGGCCAACTGCAGTCGCGTGCGGGAAAGTAACACTTTCCGCACTTGTTAGGAAAATAATTGTTTATTTTAAATAGAACACATGATAGTTTTTTCATACTATTTGAAAGTCCATTTCTTCCCCTTTTGAAAAATGTATACATTGTGACAATTCATTAAAGCTTTGAGAGAGATATTAACACGTCAAAAACGTAATAACAATTTTCTGTTAAAGTTTTTATTCATTTTTTACACATTTTAAGTGGTATATTTTTTGGTACACTTCAAATAAATTATCTGATATAATTAATTGATTTTAAAACCAAAAAAGGTTTGTTTTTATTTGTTTCTAATTTTGACATATAAAGTGGTAATCGCAGCAAATATCAAAACGATCTACTTTACACAACCAGTTGCATAAAGTTGAACATTATGAAACTGGTTACAAAAATTTTATTATGTCACCGTTGCGAGAAGAAAACAAAATTAAACCTTTTTGGTTTTAAAATTAATATATTCATTAAAATTTAATGTTACAAAATTTAAAAAAATATTGTATGTAACACGTTACGAAATGCTGTTCTAAGTAATTTTGCGGGATCTCGCTCTACTCGTCCCGCAAAGATTCAATCGTTACATAAAATTAGCTATTTCGCAACGGTGATAATGAATTTTTTTCGTAACCAGTTACATAATGTATAACTTTATGTAACTGATTACATAAAGTAAATCATTTTGGCACTTGCTACGATTACAAAAAAATGTCACTTCATTATGTCAAAATAAAAAAGACATGTTTTGGATGGTAGAAGTTTTTTTAATAAATTATCCCTAATTTTTTTAATAAACAATCATTATATAAAAACCCATTTTTAGTTTGTTAAAAGCCCATATTAAATATGACAAAATTGTACTGTAATTGAGATATGTGTATAAATATTATTCCACTTTTAGATATTAAAAATAGATACATACATATTTCATATAATTATAGAATAGCAGGTAAGCCTGTTTATGCGGATTTTAAAGTGTAATATATAAAAAAAATCAGACTCTACATTTGTACAATCGTAATATGTAAAACATTATTGAACATATTTTCATCTTTTACTAAACATTCTGCGTATCTGTAACATGGGGAGGTTTGGTTGCCCCACAGCACTTAGGCTACACTAGGCCCATTGTGCATCCTCCTGTATCGATCAGGCCACTCATCTTAGCGCTGAACTGAACATCTTTTATTTTTCCTGAATATTTCTTAATTTTACTGTAGATACAATACTTATTTTACCTAAACATACTTATTTTATTGGGTAATCTTGTAGTTTATTAACTGCACGGATCCCCACGATTGTTGCCAGGTTTATATATTAATTTTTAAGTTATGCAACAAAATTTTTTTTAAAATGCTTAAAAACCTTTAATTTTAGAATATATATTGATATATTTTTTGTCAAACACAGTTTTTCCTTGCCCTCAGAATCAAAAGATAAATAAACAAAATTCAAAATAAGAATGTATAGTCTGTTGCAATTTATAGTAGAAAACCATCTGGCTTTAAACATGAAGGAAGGTTGTGTATTATAATAATAATAATGTATTAGTCGGTACAGGGACGGTGCTCTCAAATGGACTTTAAAAATGATAATAATATTTTGTAAGAATGTTTGTAAGATTTTTTAGTTTTCCTAAAGGCCCTAACCTTAGCAACAACTGGTTTTAACTTAGTCAGGCTATGAGTGACGTCATGTGCATGGCAGACGAAAACTGAATACGGGAGCATCCGGCCCTGGGTAGTATTGGTGTGGAATTTACCTAATCACTTCAGTTTAGCTTCAAAATTTATGCGATTTGGTCGAGGTTTCGGTACTATATAGTTAAAATAAATAGTGAAAATGAGTGAGGTTAGTTAATGTTCAACAGTGTTCTTCCGAAATAAATTTGGACAGACAGGAAACAGTGATGTCAAGGAAATAGTTTTAAACGTTTATTCTGGTGAGTAATTATAATAATCATTCCCATAATATGAATCCAGGAAAAAAAGCCGGGGAAACAACATTTTGTGCATGTAACATTATTAGACGAAGAGCTGGCGACATAAAGACTCGGTAAAGTCAAAATTTTGTTATTTACAGTTTCGATTGTTACCAACATAGCGAGAGACGGGCAGAAGTCACCCTGGAGTATAAAGTAAGAGTAGGGGGTTAAACGTGCAATTTTTTCGCAAAATAAGTGATAAGGTACAGCTCTGAAAATGTTGCAGTATTATCGGAAATAATATAAGAAAGTAGGCGAAAAATTGTCAGAAGTCTAGGTGGAAGAGAAAAAGTCGTCAGAAGGCGCTCATGTTGCGAAAAATTTAGCAACAATGATGTCACTAGGTAAAATTACTTGCAAATCGTCAGAAGGCTAGGTGGAAGAATAACTGAGATATTAGTGAGAGTGCCGGTGCTCCACTTGATCCATCATTATATCTCGTATTTTATAGTTTATTCCATCCAGTTTACTTCTGACGATTTATCAACATTAAAACATTTATAACGAAAAGGACGATATTTATGAAACTTTGCAGGCAAGTACAATGACCCATATTTTTTGTTACTACTGTACTTCTGGTTTCACCGGAAATACCCTCAACTTTTTTAATTTAAAGGGGACACCGTGTATATTTTTGCATATTTTAAAAGATCTTGTTATTCCGAATTCGTACATACTAAGTCTAGTGGAAATTATTTGTAAAAACGAGAAATAAATCACTTTACATTTAAAGAATAGGTAAATTTATTTACTTTAGTCTAATGAGAATAATACTTTAAACAAAATCACTTCAAATGTTCAAAATGCTCGCCGTTCAGCTACTGACAATATACAAGTCTATTAATAAATTCGTGAGTCACTCTTTACAAGACTTTTCCACGTATTAGTTCACATTCATCAATAATTCTTTGTCTTAAATCCTGCAAGCATGTTGGTCGTCTAACGTAAACACGCGATTTTAGATAACCCCATAGAAAAAAATTTAACGGGTTGAGGTCCGGAGAACGAGCTGGCCACTCTATGAATCCTCTACGTCCAATCCATCGATTTGTAAAATTCGCATCTAAAAAATCCCTAACCCGTATTTCCGGTGAAACCAAGAGTACAGTAGTAACAAAAAATATGGCATCAGATGCGTTATGCGTCATTGTACTTGCCTGCAAAGTTTCATAAATATCATCCTTTTCGTTTTAAAGATATTTACTTGGTTCCATACTTTATCTCAACCCTGTATATTGTGTAAATAAAAATTATCTGCATATTAGTCCATAAAAAAATTAATGTCTTCCTAATTGACTTCGGACAGTTGACCAATGGAGTACTAAGATATTTTAAAATAATGTTGATAAATCGTCAGAAGTGAACTGGATGGAATAAATTTGGATGATAGTGATGATGATAGTGATATTATTTCAGAACATGAAATTAGTGACTGTGAAAGTGATTTAGAAATATAGACGTTTTTAAATTCATTTACCTATACCACAAAATAAATTTATTGAAATAACATATTCTTTTTAAATTAATACTTAATAATTTTAGTCAGTTTCAATTTTCAATATATTTTTTAGTTGAACATGTGTTTGAAAATAAAACCTTTATTTTTTTTATTGTAATACAAGTTCTCAGCGTGTTATATTTTTTATGTATTTTAAATGTTATTAAAAATCCTATGTACATATTGTAAATAATAAATGTTATATTTTTTTTCAATGCAATTTAGACCGCAAAAGGAACTTTGTAGAAATTAAATTTTAAAAATTATCTTTATCATTTGAACAAATAACACTCAACCTAAGCCGGCTCTGATCATGTTGGCGAACGAGTCAAGAGTTTGCCAGATCATTGCGCTTTCTAGATTATCTTGCAACGGACTATAAAGACGGCAACGTGACAGGTGTTAAATTCAAATATTAATCGTCAATGCAGAGATGTGCGGACATCCGCATTTAAACTCGCCTAAACTACAAGTTTACCTTTTTTATTGTACATGCCGTATTTTTCTTGAACCTCCCATATGTTTTAATGAGCACCCGCTTTTTACTGAGCATCCTATAAACTACAGCTATAATAATCGTACATTTCTTAGATTTTTAGAGCATACTAGGATAAATACCAGATATACCGAATTTTTATACATGCAACTCCCCCCAGACAACACACATAGTCCAATGGACGTCCACTTTAGATCCATTTGAGGGCCCGAACGTCCATATCCATATTCGGACATCCAGTGTACGTCCGTTTATGATCATTAATTTGACAGCTGCATATCGATGTCCAGAAGACGTCTGTTTTTGGACTTAATTTTAAGTTTAGTATTATTTTGACGTCCAGTGGACGTCCATCTTAGGTCATTATTTATTTAGCCTACCCATCTACATATATTTTTAATAGAATTGGTCATTAAATATTAACAAATTAAATCTATTACATTTCATTCTATCAGCAGAAGTTTGAAATCTTATTCTATTCCGTATCTGGTAAGAATTTTTCAAGTGGCTCCTTGGTCGAGGTCGCCTAGCGCTTGAATGCCCAGAAAGATAATGGACGTGTCGTGAGTTCGATACCTGCTCTGGTCAAGTGATTTTTAATACTTCCAAAATTGTATATCGAATGAACGTCCAATGGACTTATTTGTGCTATCTTGGTCACAATAAAATTTTGTGAATTGCCTGTATCCTCACAGAGCAGTACTAACTTTACTGGTCATCTAAATACAGGGTGATTCCTAAGTTAATACTTCCTTTTTGTGTGTCTAAGATCAAATTTGGAACCAACCTACTATAGACATAATTTCCAATTGACACTTCTTATACTTTAACAAAATGGCCGACTTCCAGTTTTACCAGAAAGTCAATTTTTTTGAATTAATCGACCTAAACATAAATATATGTTTTTTTTTAACAAATTTAGGAAAAAAGCATTTCAAGTCTTAAATAAATGTATAGATACGTATGTGTATATAAGTATATTTGCTGATAAAAGAGAATCAGTCTCAACGTCATAATACTGATTTAAAATTGCAATAAACCTTAAATAAGCTTAAATTGTTACAAAGAGGCATTCGAAAAAATTGTTTAAACATTCAATTGGTAATATTGATCAATAGTATTTATCTATACGTAACAACATAAAATCGTCTAATGGTACAAAAATCTAGGAATTTAATTTCTTCACGAATAAGTATAAGTAAAAAAAAAAAGATTATCTACTTTAAATTTAAACCGACGATTTGTCTGCTTCCTCCCTGCTATTTTGCTTCGTCTCTTCAATCTTCGGTTTCAACGGCTGCGTCTCGCCCGGCGATTCTTCTATCTTATTCCAAGGCTGCTCCACCCCCGAACCAAATATCATATAGACGAAAATTTCGACTACGTACAGTACCACCGTCGTCCAGAAGATGGCGCGCCAAGGCCGCACGGATTTCTAAATTAAACAAAATTTTATGTTTCACGATTATAAGAAATCAAGTTTTATTGAAACAATTAACAAATCAAATAAACGCATTCAAAGTGTGATTCATAATACGGACAGGAATTAAGAGAAAACAGTAGGAAGCCAAAATACTAAAAAATAGAGGAGAAGGAAACTGTTTTAATTGCTAATGTTTCAATGATTTATTAAATTATAATCATTAAATTGATCAGCAATATTATAACGAGAATATTATCTAGAAACAGTTGAAAAATCACAAATACAAAATTCCGCCCAAAACAAACGCAATATAAACAAACAAGAGCTTTTAAACACCCTTTTTGCATTCATGTCGAAAATTGATTAGTTTAAACTAATAGCTTATACAATTTATTCTAATATTTGATAAATAAAAAATAATCAGACTGTCACCTGTCAGACGTCAAATATACTTACGTCATATGTCGTTAGTCTGCCAACGAATACCGGTACAATGATTCCGGGTATGGTAGCAACGGTATTGGTCAAAGCTACCAAAGTTCCAGCAAAATTCGGAGCTATGTCAATGTGATTGGACAAAAATCCGCAAAACATTCCACCGATGAACATGACGGCGACCGTCATCAGCGCCACGGCTAGCGTTCTCTGGCAGTGGATGTATCCCAAACAAATGAAGCAAATCATCGGTACGATACTGGCGCAACCCGTCGCTATTTTCCTAGCCATCGTCGTATTTATTATCTTCTTTTCTTGAAGCGTATCCAAAGTTTTGCTGAGTACCATGCTGAACAACCACATGCACAAAAACGGGAGAGCTGTCAACACTGCGTTTTCGGATATTTTGAAATGCAAAACGTTTTTCATGTAAAGTGGGAGTTCTATCAGAACCATGTACCAGCCCCAGTTAGAGCAAGTGTGCGCCACCAAAATTGCTAGGAAAGCTGGTGAAGTCAGCACCGACCTCCAGGGTACCTCGTATTTTCCCTAGAAAAAAGTTACACAGTTCTCAAGAAATCGTCTAAAAATATTATGGCGATCTTACTTCTTGTTTAGTGTTGGACTTTCCTTGGCTTAAAGCAGAAATTATGAAACTCCTTTCTTCTTCTGTGATAAACCGTTGAGTTTGTGGAGTGTCTTCTACAAATACTGCCCAAACCAGTAACCATAGAAAACTAGTACCTCCTTCTATGTAGAATACAGCCTCCCAACCTATAGTGCCTGCTATTATGCCAGATACTAGCATAAATACCTGTAAAAATTGCCACGAATATTACGTCATTCGCAAAACTGATGCATTAGGTTCTTTCGTTCGTCCCACTGGTGTAGGAATGAATGCACACCTTTCGTTTGGCCCGGTGTAATATTCACTACACCTTCCTGTCGGCGATGTGGTGTCCATTGGTGGATATTTTCTGCACCAGCTATTTAGCATGAGTGAATTAGACTGTGTATCAGGAATAAGGAGGAAGTAAACTAGGTAAATAAAGGTGGTGTAATTGGTGTAATTTACACTGGTGGACACTGCACCAATAGCGAACGAAAGAACTTTATATTTCCATTCTTACCACAGTGCCTAAGGCCGTCCCTGCATACGTAATGCTACTCATCACACTTCTCTCGTTTGGTGGTGCCCAGTGCGCCAACATAACGTGCATCGCGGGGAAAGTCACCCCACCGCCTATTCCCTCCCCTATTCTCATAGCGATCAACGCGGTATAGTGAATGTTGGCCATGATGGGGGTCAAAAGGGTGCAAATTACGTTGATGGCTACTGAAAAAAACATCACCCATTTGGCGCTGAAGAGTTCCGCTATCCTTCCGCCCGGAATTTGGGCGACTATGTAGCCCCAAAAGTAGGCGCTCAGCAGGAAACCTTGAACCGTGCTCGACCATTCGAAACCGCCTACCTAAAAGAAAATTGGAAAGTTTAAAATGTTATTGCATTCGCACTCGTAAAAAAAGGCACCCAACGTGGGGCATATTTTCAGATACTTTTCGTACTAGGGCTGAGCAATTATCAAAATTATTATCGATTATTTGAAATAGACGATTAATCGAAATAATCGATTAATCAAATGCATCGATTATTCGAAATAATTGATTATACAAAATAATTGATTAATCGAAATAATCGATTGTTCGAAATAATCGATTTATCGAAATAATTGATTAATCAAAATATTCGATTAATCAATTAATCGAAATAATCGTAATAATCGATTAATCAAAATAATTGATTAATCGAAATAATCGATTTATCAAAATGATCGAAATATTCGATTAATCGAAATAATTGATAAATCAAAATAATCGATAAATCAAAACAATCGATTAATCGAAATAAGCGATTAATCAAAATAATCGATTATTCGAAATAATCGATTACTCTTAATAATCGATTAAATAAAATAATTGATTACCTAAAATAATTGATTACCTAAAATAATCGATTAATCAAAATAATCGATTTATCGAAATAATCGGTTAATCGAAATGATCAAAATAATCGATTAATCGAAACAACCGATTAATCGAAATAAACGATTAATCGAAATAATCGATTAATCGAAATAATAGATTAAAAGAAATAATAGATTAATAGAAATAATGGATTAATCGAAATAATCTAAATAATCGATAAATCGAAATAATAGATTAATCTAAATAATCGATTTTTGAAATAATCGATTTATCGAAATAATTGATTAATCAAAATATTGGATTAATCGATTAATAGAAATTATCGCAATAATCGATTAATCAAAATAATTGATTAATCGATTTATCAAAATAACCGATTAGTCGAAATAATCGATTTATCAAAATAACCGATTAGTCGAAATAATCGATTTACCGAAATAATTAATAAATAAAAATAATCGATTAATCAAAATAATCGAAATAATCAAAATAATCGAAATAATCAAAGTAATCGATTAAATAAAATAATTGATTAACCAAAATAATTGATTAATCAAAATAATCGATTTATCGAAATAATCGGTTAATCGAAATAATCGATTAATCCAAATAAACGATTAATCGAAATAATCGATTAATCGAAATAATAGATTAAAATGATAATAGATTAATAGAAATAATGGATTAATCGAAATAATCAATTAATCTAAATAATCGATTAATCGAAATAATCGATTTATCAAAATGATCGAAATAATAGATTAATCGAAATAATTGATAAATCAAAATAATCGATAAATCAAAACAATCGAATAATCGAAATAATCGATTAATCGAAATAATAGATTTATCTAAATAATGGATTATTCGAAATAATCGATTAATTGAAATAATCGAAATAATAAATTAATAAAAAAATCTAAATAATCGAAATTAAATAATTGAGAAGTGGTCCTAATATTGAACCTTGCGGTACACCGAATTTTTGTAACAACTGAGCTGATTTTAAACCTATATGTATATTGAACAAACTGAAATCTTCCATTTAGATATGAAAGATATGAGAGAATTAAATTTGGGGATAACCCATAAAAGATAAGTTTATTGACTAGTAAACAGTGGTTGAGCTTATCAAAGGCTTTACTAAAATCAGTGAATATAACATCTACTTGACTTTGTTGATCCAACTTACCACTGATATACTAAGTAATAAAAGTTAGGTTGGATACAGTGGATTTTTTTATTTATGAAGCCATGCTGGTACCGCGATATTAGGCGAGACATGTGGTATAATCGTGGTAATGGTAATCATCGAAATAATCGATTATTTGAATATTTGACTTAAGAAAAAAAAATTAATCGATTATTTTGCCTATCTCTATTGATAAATGGAGGAGATGGGAGCACTTACTTCTAAATTTATGTCACTATTCGTGGAATTTGAAGCAAATTCTTCAGCGCAAGTGTCCTCTAGTAGCTTGTTTTCCAGATAGTTATCGCCCTCAGGCGGGTATTGCGTTTTGACCATGTTCACAATGGCTACGTGAAGGTTAACCTTTAAACCGTAGATTATCCCAAGTCCTGTTGAACCCAGAGAGGCTACAAGGTACCTCGAGGTAATCATTTCTAAAAACAGAACGTTTATTTAAATTTAATAAGGATATATCAAAAATCTGATATCTTATGGAAAAAATGTGAAATTGGCAACAATGTTTAATAAAGACTATAAAATTACTGCATTATTGGGTTTTAATGATTATTATGGGTTTATACGATATAAAAATATGATTAAAATAAATATTTTTTAGATAAAACTTGAATAATTTTAATCCATCTGCAAAAAATAGTATATTATGCAACGATCATGTAATGATGGTTATTAATACACGAGCATTAACCGGGATACGAAACGAGCCAAAGGCGAGTTTCGTATGGTTTATGCGAGTGTTTTAATAACCATTACATGAGAGTTGCATACGCTATTTTTTCTACACCCGATAAATAATCAAGACCTATAAATATTATATTTATATTGGTATTGAACACAATAACAGTAATTACTCGTATTTCTATAAAAAATTCTACAAAATTGTAATTAATGGTATTACTTCAGGTATTGGTATTTCCCTAGATTTTTGCGGTAAAATATTTTGTACTGTATTTTCTGCTTTCTCCGATATGTGTGGAGGAGTCTTCTATATCGCTAATATCAGACATTTTAATATTATAATTATCGAAGTTTAGCTACCTACGAAAATTTAATACGTTTTGACAACTAAAATAATTACATAGGAACCTAGGACAAACGTCAAACAGCATGCTTGATTGAAAAATTGTAGGTTTCTATTGATTAAAAATCTGTATCGTAATGAAAAATCTGTATCATAATGGGTATCATTATGAAACGGATTATGGGCATATAAGTGCATTATTATAATACGGGTGTAGAAAAAATAAGTTTTTATTCGAATGTGTCAAAAAACGTCGTTTTTCGGATAGAAAACAATCGAAAAGTTTTGAATATACTTCATAAAGTACTTTATCGACGATGGCCTCTAAAGTTAAGTGTATAAAGTGTTGCATACCCATTAGAATTCTCAAATCTGAGGTAAGTTCCACAGAACTAAAATTAGGTCATAATTTGAAAAAATATATATAACAATATTTTCAGAAAAAAATTAACTGCGAGTTGTACAATACGCGGTTAATCGTCCCAAAAATTGTTTTTATTTTCAAAAGTAAATTTTGAGCAAGAATTGACATCAGTTTTGTGGTAGGTTCTTTCATACATATACCATTTTTGATTGCTTTGGAATCAAATTCAAAGACGCCAAATTTGCCGCGTCCCTAATTTCTAGGGGCGTGCCTGTAATGAATTCTTCGTCACCACTCATTTTTGTAATTTTTTTTGACAGCAATTTTTAATAAACTAGGTAATTAAATTAATTTGACATGAGCACAGTGACACGACAGAAATTTTTCAATTGTTCTCATAGCCAACTCAGTTAAGAAAAAATTATTGGAAATAATATCCTTTCAGATTTAATTTTCTATATATTTTTAAATATCTAAGCATATTCGAATAAAAAACAATGCATGAAACACGGATGAAAAGTGTTTTTTTCGGACCACGTCTCGCCTGGCTAACTTCTCATCGTAGTCGCCTGAAAAACTCAACTTTTCGTCCTTTTAAAGCCTTGGTTTCTTTGAACACTTCGTCGCGGTGAGCGGACAGTCCGTCAACCGTCGCGTTTTGACGATTTTATCCAACCAGAGTATTTAAATGGGAATGGTTTTCTTGAATCCGCTTAGCTGAGCAGGACGGCGTCATGCCGCTGATTTGTCGCGAAGAGACGGTTGATATCTGTTGAGTTTGATATCAGCGGAATCGTCGGCGTGTGCGGAGACTATATTGTTATTAATTTTAAAACAATGAGTGACAAATTCACACATACAGATGACATCATGACTTTATTTTTAGGTTCCTTGGAAATTATGTCCTTTATAAAACTCAACACGAATTCAAAAAGATCTGTAGAAAGTCTAAAATACTCCCTAAATTTGATTTCATTTCCAAAAAGCCTCCGCTGCACAGTAATATTAAAGGCACCTTCTGTATCGCGACACAAAAACAACTCATTCACTGGCTTATTGAAAACTTTGACGGTTGCAATTGCCAGTTCCTCTTGTTCTTCCTCTTCCAACAATAATAACAACGCAAACAATTTATTTGTATCCATTTTAGTACCTTTCGTTTACATATATAATACATAAACAGCACGTACAGACATAGAGAAAGTATCATTTTCTATATTTTTTAACAAACCACCTCGGGCGAAAATTGCTGTCCTCAGCGGTCGACGGACTGTCCGCTCACCGCGACGGAGTGTTTAAAGAAACCAAGGCTTTACATAAACTACTATTTTGCGCAGCTATTAATGTCTACTTACTTCCACAAGGACTGCCAAGAGCCTTCACCTCTTTGACCATTTTTTATCTGAAATTCAAAACATATTTTACAATACCTAATGTAGATACCTAGTTAAATAATCATTCAAATGAAAAAACTCGTGACATAAAAAAATTACTACTTCCTCGTTATTCTACTACAACCCTCTTAAATTTACTCGTGTTTCCTAAAAACATAAAATGCCATTAAAGCTTTCGAAGCAACAGAGTGTATCTCCCCATGAACAAATTATCAAGAGCAAATACATAGATATATTATGTATAAACGTTGATTACATCAAGAACGTTTACTTCCTTTTCCGTTTTTAATCCATTCAGAATTCGTATTTCTGATGATTTAAACATTTATTTTAATTTAAGGCCGTGCAAAGAAAGTGAGAAAGTTTTAAAAAGAAACCCTAAGTAGAAAAAAATTCCTCTAAACTTTTTACATTATATTTCAAAGTCGCAATAATTCAGTTGAATACAATAAACATTTAAATAAATATACTTCTGATATATATTTTTATTTTTATATTTATTATTGCAATAATTTTTTCAGTTTCCCCTTATAGTTTCGGTTAAAAAGTCTGAAAGAAAGTTGTGCATGCCTATAATAAATACATTGCCAACGCGCGGCCCATAACAACATTTAAATATTGATATATACTTTTGTAAAAATACACAAACTTGTGTAATGGTATCATTCGCTAAATCGTTGTATACATTTTAATTATCAAAGAATGATGAAATAAAACCGTAAACTCTGAGAACCCGTATGATGTTAAACAGCCGTTCAATATTTGAAACGTTGTGCAACAAGTTGTGGTTTGTCGAAATTTTGCATACCTATATATCTAATATCGATCTCGAGTAACAGACGAATCATGCATTAGTTTATTTTTAGCAACATTAATTTGTTTGAGGAAATATAGTTTTTAAATGCTCAATAGTCTGTAAAAATATATACAAAGTCCTAATGAAGCAAAAAAGGTTTTAAAGTAACAAGAGAAAATATTATTTCGATTTTTTTTATGATTCTTATTAAAAAAAAAACTAAATTATTTTTACCATCAGGTTTTCAGATATTATTGATTTCGTTTGAATTTTAAAGATTTCGATCTTTTTCTATAGATATACCTATAGGGATATTTCAAAAGGTTAGAACATTACGTAGCTATAGACTCCTAGGATAAAAATCGACTACAACCTACTCCACAAAGCACTAGACTAGCAATACTTAACCATCTACATAATGTTTACTATGTTACAGGGGCGTCGCAAACCTATTTTTTTAGGTTTATCCCTTTAAAATTAGTTAGTGGGGACCTTGTTTTAGAATTTCTTTTCCTGTAATAAATTAAACCCAAAACCTAAATATATCCAAACGTTTATTGTAAAATTAGTGCGATACTGAGCACAAAATAGGGTTTACCTTAATAACCAATCTGCCAGAAACATCCCATTTAGGTTCTATGTATGTTTCTATGTTTCTAACAAATGGTTCGTCCCTACGATGTTTCTAAAGAAATATTTCTGGAATTATTTATCAAGAACGTTTTAGAAACATCGTAAATATGTATAGGTATTCTATTTTTGTTCTAAATATTATTTTAAAATATCAATAAATTATAAAATTACTGCAATAACCAGAAATCTACAATATTATCAAACTCTAATATTAAATTTGAACATTTTGAACAATAATATTTTTATTTCACAAAACAATTGTTGCAGGTCAAATTTATTTTTATTAGTGAGTGTAAATACGACAAATGAATACATTTCCTTCCTTCTGGCTCAACAGGAGAGATCGGTAAATCCTCCGAGAGTTAAAAAAAGACACTATTGACATAAGCACTATTGAAAATGTAGCACTGAGCACTTATGAAAATATCGTTACATTTATACCAATTGTATGTATGGAACGATATTTTCGATGAAAAGGAATAGACCTCATATTTGATTTGCTCGCGGAGTATTAACCGAACGCGCCTACCTTATAATCAGATCCAATGACAATATTGACATATGACAAACAGTTCATTAGTTTTGACAGTTGACATTTAAAATGGTTTCTCGCCTCACTTACGAAATTTGCTAATTTAATATAGTTATTTACGATATAAGGACTGATTCCACCGTTGTGTTAAACGAAGTTTAAAATGACATTGTTAATGTAAAAATGTCATTTTAAACTTCGTTTAATACAACGGTGGAATCGGTCCTAAGTGGAATAAGAGTTTTATTAACGTACGCATTCGAAATTTACACAACGTTAAGGCCTTTTGACTTTTACCATGCTTTTACCCAATACAGTTACTTACCCTTCATAAGGCCATCATCAGGCAATAATGCTGGGCCACTATCGAAAGACTAACAGTAGGCTTTTATCTTTTAATCTTCGCATTCATTTTCCCTTCAATTAGAGCAAAAGGCCAGCAATATCCCGGCAATTTATTGTTTGTTGGGATGTCACTTTCCTAAGTGGTCATAAGAAAAATAATTTGCACATTTGGAAGCACGTATAAATATCTTTTTTCAATCATAAAAATTAATAAAAATAAGTATCGTACTCTTCTTAAATGTTAATTTAGAAAACACTGTGCCTATGTACTAGTGTAATTGACCCCAATATTGATCATCTTGTTCCTCTCATCAATTTTTATTTGATATTCTATCTTTTTTTATTAATTTGTTTTTATATGTTTGATTGAACATAATCATTTTGCTATTATAATTAATAAATAAAAAAATGTGCGAAATTTTGTCGCTTTTTTATTCGCTACTATTTCTTGTCTACGGCCTGATTTATAACAATGAATCGGATGAGTTGTTTGGAGTTTAGATTCGAAATATTATTGAAATCGGTACAGTCATAAACATAGAAAACTATTGTTTATAAATTAGGGAAGTAATTTTTATTCCCAAATTCAAGTATTATTTTAGCAAAAAATAAAAAATAAACTGACGAAAACCAAGAAATAAAAAAAACTGATCTCAAATCTCGATATTAGGAATATAATTAAAATAATCGGAAAGTGAAATATTATTCCGATTATTAGAATCATCCGATTGTTTCCATTGCTAATTTTTTGGTTGTTTCACCCGTAATAATGAAGGTTTCACAATTTCATAAGTAACCCCATCTAGTGTTTAGAGTCAGTAACATAAGAAATGACAGTTGTTGATTTAGACTGGGCCAAAAAAAAATTTCGTGAAAAGTTGAGCCCTTACCCAGGCAACACACCAAATCCCAGAGATATCCACAGAATATATTTTGTGGATATCCAATATATCCACAGGATATCAGAAATATTCCGTGGAACTAATATAGATATCCAAATGTCCGTCTATATCCAGAATCAAAGAATACATACCCAAGAAGCGAAACTGAATGAGTTTTTCTATGTACCAAAGTAGCAGCGACCTTGACGTAAATGGGAACTTAATACACTGAGAAACGTATAATTCCAATCAATTTTTGTTGTTTGGTTCATGAGAATTAAACACATACTAAAGTTAAAATGACGGAAAATTCTTGCTATATTAATTGATTCTGGATACGACCCTGTCAAAATGTCGCCAATCTAAGCAATCGTTTTGCTTCGGCTCCCCGTATACCGAAGACTATAGTATTAGCTAAATGTTTTTTTTTTTTAATTTGTAATATTTAATTGTACTCAAATACCATAATTTATTTCTTCATGTTAAACACTGGTTAAAATCACTGAACAAACGCCACCCCCGTTAAACTAACATTTTTATATGTATATTAGTTTGAAACACTTACCAGAAACAATTACTACCTTTTTTGGAGGATCAATTGTGAGAATATCATAGCTTCGTTTGCATTTGGAGAATACTGTGGGTACAGCATTGTCAAATAATCGTCTTCTATAAGATGTACTGCTTGAAAAATATTTTTCTTCAAAATGTTGTTCACATATTCTATATGAAGATAAGCTACTAGGAACTGTGAAATTTAAATCTTAACGATTACAAGCTTTTAACCAGAGTTGAGCTCTACAAAATTATATTTATTAATACTTAATTTTTCTAAATAAATTTGAACAGTAACATTTCAGTACATACCTTATGGCATCACCTGGGAATTTAAACATTCTTAGCCCTTGTTCTGAAGTTGTAACACAACCACGAACAACGCAATGTATTTTTTTCATTGTAATAAAAACCTTTAAACTATCTAATATATAATTACTACTTTTAAATAAACCTACTGACATTTTCTGAAAACGCTAAGAATAATATACCAAACGTCATACACTACATGAACTGACAACTATATTTGACGTTAAACTACCTCTAAAACACTGAGAAAACTTGGCAATTTTTTGTCCACGAATCGCCCATTTAGTGTCGCTTCTTGGGTAGGTATTCTTTGCCAGAATATAGAAGAAATCCTATGGATATTCAGCAAAATATCTAATGAGTATCTCCAGACAATACAAGAAATCCCAGATATATCCATAGAATATATTTTGTGGATATCCAACCAAATGTCCGTCTATATCCCAGGATATAGAAATTCAGATAAATATTTTATAATTATTTTTAGTAGAGGTTCATAAGTAACCAACGGTTATTGAATAACGTCGAAAGAAAATAGAGGTAAAAAATATTCCCAACAATCTGCCTTTGATTTTGCCTACTAAGGAGAAAATCATCCTTATTAGGAATCTTCAGCAATAAATGGAACTTCTCGACTTCAGTCTCTAATGAAGTCTGTTTGTGAAACAATGTCGATCAAACTCAATTACGGCGGGTTAAGCATGAGTAGATACGAAAGTGGTATCGCCATCTATACTTAGGAAGCAAAATCAAAAATTACATCTAGTAGATATCCACGATGGTTTGCGTCCGCGCTTAGACTTTGATATATTTATATTTATAGTGGATGTCCATGGGATATTGAATACACCTTAAAAAAAAATTAATTTTAAATATCTCAACGGTACTATTAGCCACAATGGCGAGTACAATGGCGTAATTTTTTAATAATTTGCTATATAATTACAATTATTTATG